GATTTTCGGTTTTTACTTGGAACAAGGGTCAGATTTGTTAACACTTTCATTTTTTATTTGGATAATGCATGCAAGCCGAGGGACAAGAGTGGCTAGAGTAGATTCTGCAGCCTTCTACCCTTGTTGGGTANAATAATTGCATTTTTTATTTCAATAACGCATGAGTAAACAGGGATATGAACGCAGATTTAATATAGGCCCATAGAATTACGGGGACCGGCAAGGATTTGGAATGTCTGAATACAAGTCCTGCTTACACCTAACAAGTGCTGAAATGGGACATAACCAGAGGTAGAAAGGTCTCGGAAGCACTTGGGAAGAGGCTTCCCAAGACCTATCCAGTTCTGAACGGAAAGACCTAAGTAGAACTTGTCAGGTCCAATTATTCGACTCGGGAAGATAATACAATTGATGCTGATGATAATTTTTATCTTTTATTCAGAAACTTGCTTCGTACCTAAAGGAACTATAATAAACATTCATCTTTTCGACACTCATCGAGATCCAAATTACTGGCCTCGACCAAATGTCTTCGATCCCGATAGATTTTTACCAGAAAATTCAAAGGGAAGACATCCATTCGCTTACGTACCATTCAGTGCTGGACCAAGAAATTGTATTGGTAATTAATCTGATGGTTGCCACAATTATTATGGAATAAAATCATTCGATAAAAATGGAGTTGTTCACGGATTGACATTTACTTTCATTTCCAGGACAAAAGTTTGCAATGTTGGAATTGAAAACGCTAATAGCAGGATTGCTTCTCAATTTTTACCTCGAACCAATGGAGTTGGCTGCTCATGTACGAATAGTGCCTGATTTGGTCTTGAGAACTGCCCATCCAGTGCCTCTCAAATTTGTTCCAATTCGTAAATGAGTTATGTTGTAAAGAATGAGAATATTCATGGTCTTTAATGATATTATTTTGTCGTCATACCTTTAGAGGATCAGAAGAAAAACCAGTGATGATTTAAAATGAGTTTTTAATATCTTGAATATCTGCTCTTTAGATTTTTTTTATTATTCTCTAAAGTGCTGGAATCCCAATTGTGGATTATTCACACTGTCGTTGCTGTTTTACATTTCTCAATTTGTTACACTTACTGGAGTTGGTCTTCTTTTTACAGTTTAGATATTTTGTTCACATTTTTTAAGGTATTCACAAATTACTTCTATGTATTTATGGTCAGTTGCTTCTGCAGCTCTTTCGATTGAAGAGAATAATGTAAAGTAGGAACCCTTTTATAATGAATAAATGTTCATTCCGAAGATTAGGGTGGAAAAAATAGTTTGATAAATACAAAAAGTGCCAAGACAAGTTCGCAGAGCAAGAAACGAGATAAAAGAATAAAGAGATGGGAAGGGGTGTGAACATGGTAGAGTGGGAGGGCTAGAACAAATGATCATTTTAAGCCATAGTTGAAAAGATTTCGACGATTATTTTTCCAACCCAAATATCGGGCAATATAATTGGCCCATTTTACATCACGTGGTAGAAGCTACAGGGTTTTCAACTGATAATTTTTTGATAATTTTCTCTGGTAGTTGCTGTATAAAAAACAAAATATCATACAGTCGAATTAACCCCTCGTCAAACTGACAGATTGAATTCAATTCTGTCGTTATGTTAATTATACAATTTTCGTTTCTCAATTGTGAGTTTCGTCTCATGGTCCAATTATATTGCCTGACATTTGGATTGGAAAAATAATCCCTCGAATACCACACGAGCTTCAAAATTAATCGGGCATTTTCCTCAAGGTTCTCTGCATACAAACGAAGTCGTCAAGTTTTTCAGGAAAAATCACTCGTGCTTCGCACTCGTGATTTTTTAACCTGAACAACTTGACTCCTTCGTTTGTTTGCAACGAACCTATCAGAAAATACCCAATAATTTTGAAGCTCTTGTGGTATTACAATAATAAGTGATAATTTTTTGATAATTTTCTCTGATTGTTGCTGTATAATAGTATATTGTGTCATTAGGACCGTAGACGGAGGTTTGCGATGAGTGTGAAGTTAGCAGCACGAGGCGTCGGTAAGAAAGCCCCCCCCACTGTAGAAAAACGAAATGACAAGTGAAGAGAAAATATTGACGAAAAAGAGATGCAAAATCCTAAATTGAGATTCGAAAGAACGAATGCAAAAGTTGTAATTCACGGAGTCTGTCAAAAACATTCAAAAAACATCTAGATGAGAATGGAAATCTTCCTCCTCCTGAAATGGAAATTGCAACAAATTGAAAGAATAAAAAGAAGGATTAATCATTTTTCTAAATTTATTCTCATGAGAAAATCAACGTGTGAACATCTACAGTTTACAACTTTTCTTTTTCATCGTTCCTCTTCTTCTCACAACATACTCAAATTTTTCATCACATTTTAATAGAAATATATATATAATCTATTCAAAATAGATATATAACGAGAAAGTGAATATAATCTCTTTATTAAACTAATATTTTGACAATATAACCCTCAAGTTACGACTGACTCCCTAGCAACGGAATAACAACTCCTGATGTCATCGGCAATGACGGTGGCGCATCGTATTAGTGGTGAACGATTCGCCGAGTTTTCAAGCAAGTGACAGCGATAACCGCACACTTCATTTGTATTCCTACGAAGGTTTTGTGGGTTGCCCATCTAGAAACTGTATGTTTTTATTGTCCTGGGCTGCTAACTCGAGTTAACCATAGCTGTGCTTCGTTTAACGCACCTGGTCTGTTAAACGCCATTTAGCTTCCCTCAAGACAGCTATAGTAGGCGCTACCTAACGGGCCTGAATGACGAAAAAAACAAAATATTATGCAGTCCAATTAACCCCTCGTCAAACTGACAGATTGAATTGAATTCTGTCGTTATGTTAATTATACAATTTTCGTTTCTCAATTGTGAGTTTCGTCTCATGGTCCAATTATATTGCCCGACATTTGGATTGGAAAAATAATCCCTCGAATACCACACGAGCTTCAAAATTAATCGGGCATTTTCCTCAAGGTTCCCTGCAGACAAACGAAGTCGTCAAGTTTTTCAGGAAAAATTTGACTCTTTCGTTTGTTTGCAACGAACCTATCGGAAAATACCCGATAATTTTAAAGCTCTTGTGGTATTACAAGTGATTATTTTTTGAATGATTATTAAAAAACTAAATTTGAAAACAAAACTCATATACATGCACACCGACATGATTAAAAAACAGGATATTCGAGCTCCTGAGACCAAAATTAGTCATCGTCACACAGAAAAATGGAAATTTCAGATTTGATGAATACAATGCTTTCATGCGGAAGCAAAAATACAGGTCTGTGAAGGCGGAAATTCTTCACACGGAGAGAAAAATACACGACAATTTCGTGGAAGTTCCCTTCAATAATTAGTGTCGAATAGAATTTCCCAGCGAGTTCGTCATATGTGTTTACGAAATTTAGACATGCATATAATGATCATTATCATATGTCAAATGATAGCGCCATTCATTTCTTGTTAAAGTAGCTATCAGTTTGAACTTTATGAATAAACCACTCATCCCCGATTACAATACTAATCTTCACAGTACGACGAATAATATCGAGTATAAATTGTTCCAAAATGAACTATTAGTCTCATTCATCTCTCATCGTCTTCTTTGGCAAGTGAATCTCGTCATCATGGATGTTCGAAGTCACCGCTGCTGAACAGTTAAATCCAATCAGACATGGATTTACTCTCTGTTATCGTGATATTGGGATTTATTCCAGTGGCGATTCTGCTGGCAATAAATGTATATCTGCATCGCAGTCGAATCGGTCGATATGTCGATGAAATTCCTGGACCCAAGGGATTTCCCATTATCGGCAATCTTCTGGATTTCATTGTACCAGCCGGTAAATTTTCAATTATCATCATCAGAAGTATCATCGAAGTGATCCTAAATCTAGTAGAATGGTGTATTAAATAAACTTTGTGTGCATTAAATAACCCCTCAGTGATCTTTTCATCACTTGTGCGTAAAGTGAAATTTTACGCACGCTTCATTTTCCACACATCGTAATGAAAAATAGGGTGCGATACTCGCGGGAAAAGTGTTCTTTGATCCTTAAAAGGATAGCACTTGCCTTCGACGAGGTTAAAAAACACTTTTACGCACCCGCATTGAAATATACTATATTAGATTCAAGTAAATGATGTATTTGACTGAAATAAAATTAATTGAATTCAAATGAACCATTTTTCTGTATGTAGATCCGCGAATAATTTAAAATTATTCGTGGGACAAATGATTTACTGCAAAATAAAACTCAGATATCATATAAATTTCAGACGAAGTCTTTCTGCTACTGGGAAAATTGAGTAATCAGTTTTATCCTATATATAAGCACTGGATTTTGCATCGGCCGATGGTGAATATTCAACACCCGGATGATGTTGAGGTTAATATTGAAGTTAAAAAATGTGCTTCATCTACCGGTTATTTGAATCAATTTTTTTTCTCATGATTTTTTTACAGTTACTGTCTAATACCAAAGCCATTGAAAAAACTTCACATTTGGTTCTCTTGAGACCCTGGCTGAATGATGGCCTCTTGTTAAGCACAGGTATCTCCATGAAATTATGATTACTCTAGTTATTTTGGTGAGATTATAACTTTATAACAATCAACAAGATGATATCATTAATGAAAGTTATAGTGCACAAAACTCTGAGTGGAAAATTGCTTTTTTCACAAACTAGCCAATATATTGACGCTAATGAATTAGCAATTTGTTTCCGAATGGAATTTTCATGACCACTGGTAGCCAACATTGCCCTAACGTTGATAGCCAACATTGCCTTAACGTGACAAATCATAAATAAAAGGTTATCATAAAATCACAATTACACCTATTAATTTCTGTTTATTCATGTTGACCAATTATAATCCAGTATTTCCTTAAATTCATTGCTAATTAAAACAGATGATCTATGACAGCCGATTCATAATCGATAATTGTCAGGAGATAAATGGCGTGGCCGAAGGAAGATGTTGAATCCTGCATTCACCAACTCTCTCCTCCAGGAGTTTGTGGAGACATTTGCAGAGCAAACTGATCGACTTTTGAGGTCTCTTAAGGCAGAGGCAAGTGCACAGGGCGGACAAGCTGTCAAGGGAGTTGAGCAGATGTTCTCGAGGCTCTCACTCAACATAATATGTGGTAATTAGTTGTTTTGGAGGATTTCCAGCAGCAGAAATCTCACAATTTCTGTACTTGTAGAAACAGCAATGGGAATATCTCTGGATGACAAAGATCGAGATCAATATGCCTACATCAATGCGATCCCCATAGCTGCACAAATATTTCAATTCAGGTATTTCCTTCAACCGTCATTTCGCTGTCATCAGTAATTCAGCTATGGATCTTAGATTAAGAGATTTTCCTCAAATACTCGTGCAGAATTTGCCACTCATCGGTGGTTCCGATGATCATTTATGCATGGATTATGATAACACAAATAGTCTGACTACAGCTCTACTGAGTCATCTTATCAATTTCAGATTCATGAGACCTTGGTTATCGAATAATTGGATTTTCTCCTTCACAAAAATGGGAAAACAGCACGATAAGGTGCTAGAAATAATACACGGATTTTCAGCAAAGATTATTCAAGGGAGAAAAGATTATCATCGCGTGAACGGCTGGCGATATTTGGATGGATTATCGGAGGAAAATACACAAGAGGAAATCGAGGACAAGAGAAGTACGGAAAATTTTTGATTCGATTGATTAGATCAGCCACAGTGGAAAAACCTCGCCACTCAATGGATTTGGAAGATACATTCCATTTCCAAATCCGTTCAATTGCGGAAATTGTCCTTCAGTCAGCGTACTGCGCAGGGCGCTCACCGTAGCGTGCTTATGTCATCGGCGCAGTAGGCTGCGCAGTAGTCTCACGAGTAAATTCACTCAATCCAGACGCGTGGGGACACGGAAAGTTGAGGGTCAACGGTTTTTTTGGTAAATATATAGTATCACTCCCCCCCCTCCGATTTCGTTTAAATTTACAGGGATGGTAGTATTCCCCGAGATTAGATAATCCCTGAAATATTAGGTGTCGGAAACAATTAGGAGGGAAGTTATGGAACAATGAATGTCACTTACCTTCCCGCTCTCTGCGCTACCCGGGGCCAACGACGTGGACGTGGCGGTTTCTGGCCCCTCAGACAACACATGTTGATACATTTAGAGACAACGGATAAACACAGAGATGGTATGAATGTATAATATACAATGGCGCAACAACGGTCCCTCTCAATTTACCACCGCCGCCCT